GACGGTGGTCAGAAGGATTGTAGTCGGAAATGACCATAGTCTGGCCGGCGACGGTGGTCAAAAGGTCCGTAGTTGGCGAGCAATAGAGGTCAGAAAGACCGCTATCAAGTGATGGTGGTCTAAAGAACCATATTTAGGTGACAGAGATTGGAAAAACCATAGTCGGGTGAAGGTGGTCGGAAGGACCGTTGTTGGTGGGCAATAGAGGTCCGAAAGACCGTACTAGGCGGGTGATGGAGGTTGGAAAGACCGTAATGGAGTGACAATGGTCAGGAGAATAATAGTTGGCGGGCGACGAAGGTCGAAAAGACTGTAGTTGGGTGATGATGGTGGAAGGACCATAGCCAAGTGACAAAAATCAGAAAGACTGTAATCGGGTGAAGGTGGACGGAAGGACCATCGTCGACATGCGACGAAGGTCGGAAATACAGTAGTTGGGTAATAGCTGATGGCAAGACAAAAGTCCGAAGACGACCAGTGACCGGGCACAAGTCCGGCGATGGTCTGTGGCTAGACGTAAATCCGACGTCAGTTGGTGGTCGGGCGGAAGCCCGACGATAGCTGATAGTCTGGAAGAAGTCCAAAGACAATCGATGACCTAGCAGAAATCCAACAAAAAGTTTGACGATGATCAGTGGTCAAGCAGTTTCTGATGGCAAGAGAGCTCTGATTTCTCTTCCTTTCGTATCTTTCTTCTCTTTCTTGCTTCATCCATCATCAATGAAGAATGATAGGTCTATTTATAATTTTTTGAGAGTGACATGATCGATAAATAGGAAGAAGATTAACAACATGTTAGGAGTGTTTCGAATGGACGACTGATATCGACTCCTTTGACCTTGGACCATTTATTAAATATTTAAGTGACTTAATGATGTCAGAATTTGGTGATCTTATGCTCGTTGGATTCGTCTCGTCAAGGCACTTGATTCGACTATAAACATGTACCTTTTAAAATTCATTTAGCTATCCAATTTATGGTTTGAATCTTCCAAATGCATTTTGGATCTTTGATTTGGCCTCATTTGGCCTCAGATTGGGTCAAATTTGATATCGTTGGATTTGCATTTTTGAGAAATTCAGTTTGACTATAAGTTTACTTAAATCAAAGTTTATATGGTCCAAAATTTAAATTTGAAAGTTTTCGATATAAAATTACCTCGAGATTCGTACTATATCAAGATAATTATTTTTTTTGAAATTACATCTCTCATAATTCGGATTACTACAATATATAGTGTTTGACTTAATGTTAAAATTTTCCTCTCACTTTGCCCGGCGGTTTTGTTTTTACGAGGAAAAATGCACGTGCCTGCTTTGATTGAAAACGCCTCTTCGCCACCACCAAAAGCCTCTTATCATCTTTAGAATACGCCCCTTCCTATAGCCAAGAGTTGGCTGCTGGAGCCCTTCGTTTTATTAAAAATTATTCTGTCCAAATTTCAGCCCCAAATTAAAATAAATCATATTTGATACCGAGTTTATACGGAGCGGTTTTTGATACTCGATACCGCTCGATATCTGAATTTGAACTGAACGATTCTCCCATCCGATATCCGCACAGAATAATCTCTCTCATTATATATATATATAATTTAGATATTTCTAAAGCAGTTTTTAAATACAAAAAAATATGAATTTGATATTTTTGTACCAAAAATATATATATATATATATATATTTTAAAAATCATTAAAAATGTTGTCTCAAAGCCAAAAATAAATGTGTGTGTTTTTTTGTTTAAAGTAAATGAATGTAATGTAAAGTCTAATGATGATGGTGGTCAATAATCGACGACCAACAACGGGGATGATCATTGGTGATTGTTAGGCGGCAACAACGACTACAGGCAATGACGACAACATCAAGCAGAAACATGTAGTCTGTGAGCGGCGAGCAGCTGGTGATACGGGTGTCAATTTCAGGTTGAACCCAAAAATGACCCGACACTATTCGGGTTAACCCGAACCTGACCCGTTTTTGCAAACGGGTTAGTTTTTCGGACCAGAACCCGACCCGACCCGAATGACTCGGGACGGACAAAAAATTGCTAGTTTTTCGGTCCTAAAACGGGTCAATAATTGCTTTTCTGATAAAAAACAGGTCAATCTCGGATTGACGGGTCAAAAATGGATTTTTGCATCAATTTCGGGTGAACAGGTCAATCTGAATCCGACCCGTTTTTGGTTTGGGACCTTTGGGTCAACCCAAACTCGAAATTTTCTGATCGGGTTCGGGTTGGGTCCAATATTGACAACCCTAGCTGGTGACATCGAAAATTACAAATAATTTAAAGTGTATTTAAAAATCATTAAAATTTAATAAATTTTAAATACATCAAACTTAAACAAGAGGATAAATTCTAAATACTTTAAAACTTTTTCTTTTGGGAAATTAATACTTTAAAACTTTACTCTTTATTTTCTTTCATTTCAAATAAAACATTAATTTATTCATAACTCTTAAATTTGAAATACTAATATATCTTTTTATTTAAATCAAACAGCCCCTTAGTGAGTATTATATTTATATACATAAATTTAAAATTTAAAATATACATAAATTTAAAATTTTAAATATACATAAAAAGTTTTATAATATTTATAATTTATGTAATAATGATTATACTCGCTTGCTGAGTGAAAGAGACCGTGACCTTTTGACTTAGTTATAGGGCCACTTTGAATTCTTACTGAAAATATTTATGTTTGCTTTGTAGCATTTAATAAATACAAAATATAATTCAACATAATTAACAAAAAGTGAGAATACATTATTAGTGTTTGACCCGTCACCCGTGGACTAAGAGGGGCAACAAAGTAAAATACTTGTGACGGCTTGGTTGGTAATTACGAGAAGCCAATTCGATAGAAAAAAATACCAAAGGAGAGAATCTTCACTTTTAATTTCAAATCAATAAACAAAAATGTTGATTTATTTTTATTTATAAATAGATAAGCAAAAATGTCTGATATTCTGCTTTATATAAATAAGCATTATTTACAACTTTTTTTTTAAAACTATTTTTAAACTAAAAAATGTTTAAGAATTATGATAGCACTTTGAATAATAATTAGTTCAATTATGTTCAATGAGCTACAATTGAGCTCTTTAGTGATTTTTAGATCTTACATTTAATGTATAAATGTATTTTAATATAAGGCTCGTTATCTTAAATATATATGAATTTGCCAATTTTTCTCTCAGAGGCTCTATGAGCATGCTAATAAAGAATTAGAAGATCTTAGCTATTTGTTAATTTCATGTTGAATTATAATTAGAACATGATGAGCTTTGACTTCTCTCAAGGGAATTGCTTCTACCCATTTTGAAAGATAATCTGTAGCAGCTAAGATGAATCAATGACCTATAGAGGATGGTAGATCAATTGGACTAACAATATCCATATTCCACGCATTCATTGAATCACTATCATCAACAATATGTATATCTATAATATCACACGTCTTTGCCTATGTCCACTTCATCATATACAGCTTTGAAAGATTGTGAATTTATTGATCTTGCATCAACCTTATTGGCACAAATAACTTCAGTTAAAAATCTTCTTAGAAATAGTGGTCACACCTATAGGAGCAAATGTTTAATGGATAAAGATAACTCATTTAAGAAAAAAATAATATCACCATCTATAAGTAGATCATTTGGAGGCATTCAATATATCATTTATAGTTTTGAGATTAAGCTATTTATTTTTAACTTCTATCATTTTGTATATAAGATCAATGTGATCGTAACATAAAATATCTCTTTGTATTTTTAATTATTTACCTTATTTTTTTGGTGAATATCCAACTAGTTTGTATGTCTTCTTTTCATTCTTCTTCATACAATATAACAATGCTCATGTTTGATTTATCTATAAAAAACACTTCATAATTATAGTATTTTATTATTCTCCGAACATCATTTGAAAATAAATCAAACCATATTCAAACATGTTTGAACATTGTTCAAATAATGTTCTAATCATGCTAGAATATATTTAATCTGTTGTGTATTGATCTGGTTTTAGATTAGATTGATCTGCAAACACATCACACCATTATCTAATTTCCTATTAGAATGTTTAGGATGATGTAATTAGCCACTCTAGTAAGCTCAATTGAATAAATGAATTAAGGAACTCCTATAAAATTATCTTCTGTGCCTCTCCCTCTTCTCTATTCCCTCTCTCTCTTCCAAAAACCTCAAGAAGAGCTTCTTCTTCCTCAAAGAATCTAATATAATCTATACTTGACCTATATTCGAAGATATCATTCAACTTTATTTAGATAGAGTTAAAACATTATTATTGTATCTCATTAATCAAATATTGTTCAAATAATGATCGAATGAAATAATCTCTAATGTCTTTGAGTCATGTTAGTTAGGGGTGTCAATATTTGACACGACACAAAAATTCGACTCGAATCCGACCCAGAAATTCCAGGTTAGACCCGACCGATTTCAAAACGGGTCGGGTTCGAGTTCCTGGATTCGACCCATTTTTTAAACTGGTCGGGTTTGTGTTGACCCGATGGATTGCGGGTTGACCCGACAACCCATTTAAAATGAGCTGACCGTGATGTTAGTCATATTTCAAAAAAAGAACAAAATTATGGATTTATTTTAACAAGAATTAAACATATTTTTTAATTATCTATACAATGATATAAAAGTTTAGAAAGTAATATTTTAAATTGAATATTTTTTTTATATATTTTCTCAACAAACAAAATATCCAATATATATTTCTTTTTACACAAAGTCAATTTTCTCTTTAGACTGAATTAAATAAATTAGTATAAAATATAACTGTACAATCATTTATTCGAATTTGGAGCTTTTCGGAACTTCTTTGTTGGTTCCTCAGCTTCTAGGAATCACCGCATCATGAGCCGCGCTAATTTAATTATGTGACGGAACTGGTTACGAAATAATGTTCAGTAGGTACAGTTGCATTCAAATTCTTATATATACAACCTATTTATTGTTTAATAGTCTAAGCTTCTTCGCCGTTCTAGTCCGTAAGCAAAATCGGGTTGAGGTCGAAGAAAATAGCGAGATTGATCTTGATCTAAATCCCTTTACTGTTCTCGAAGATTACTGCTAGTCGGTGGAGATCTCTCAATTGATCCCTGATTCTTCGAATTTGATGCTCTATCCTTTCAGTAAGTTCTCTGAAGAATCCCCCACTTATCCTTCTTTTTTTTTGTTTCTTTGATGCAAGTCGGACAATCGTGAGTTGGCGTAGATAATCTTGTAGAAAAGTTGCAGTTTTTGCATTTTTCTGATTGTAGATGTTGCGAATATGGGTTTTCGGTCGTTCAATCTCGTTTTTTTTTTTCATATATCCTACTAGGTTTAGTTTTTTTTTTTTTTTTGCCATGGATTTTTTTTAATACTTTATTTTAAATTACTTTGCAGAAGCTCACACTCGTGGGATGAACTTCAGTTCTGAGTCTGCTGAAATGGAGCAAAAGTCGCGGCCTTTCGAAATTTCAGCCAGCTCCTGTTCTGCTGACAATTCATCAATACACCTTAATGCGAATGAGTTGTTCAACCAAATGAGGTCAAAAGGATTCAATTTCAACTTTGACGCTCAGGGTTCTCAGTGCGGAACTTGTCCCATTAACCAGATTGTTAAGGATACGAATGTTAATTTGGATGTCAAGTCTATGCTCAACAATCTTTCTTTCCTTGAACAAAAGATCCACAACATTCAGGACATCATCCATTCGATTGTTAGCCAGAAAAGCACTACATCTTCTCTCCCAAATGAATTTTCTGTTCGGCAGCAACTTGTAACTACTGATCTTGCTTCAATCATAGTTGACTTAATCTCGACAGCGGGAAACCTTCTTCCAACTATTAAAAACAACCTCTTATCATCCAATCCTCCTCCCAATCAATTTTGCAGTAGCTTTGATTCCTTAACTAACATGGAGGCTGATGCTCCTTTGCCCAAACATGAACTGATGAAAATTCAAGATGATAGGAGTGAAATGAATGAGAATGTCCACATTGAAGACCATGATATGAAGGAAAGCGAAGATGGAGCGGAGGTGGACAATCTTTTATTAGGATCTTATGAAGTATTACAGTTGGAAAAGGAAGAGATTTTGGCACCGCACACCCACTTTTGCAGAATATGTGGAAAGGGCTTTAAGAGAGATGCAAACTTGAGAATGCATATGAGAGGTCATGGCGATGAGTACAAGACCCCAGCTGCTCTTGCCAAGCCAAGCTACAGCTCCGAGCCTGCACTTATCAAGAGGTACTCTTGTCCCTTTGTTGGGTGCAAGAGGAACAAGGAGCATAAAGGTTTTCAACCATTAAAGACACTTCTATGTGTTAAAAACCACTATAAGAGGACTCACTGTGACAAAAGCTTCATATGCAGTAAATGCAATTTGAAAAAGTTCTCTGTTCTAGCTGATCTTAAAACTCATGAGAAGCATTGTGGTCGTGATAAGTGGCTTTGCTCTTGTGGAACAACTTTTTCAAGGAAGGACAAGTTATTTGGGCATATAGCTTTGTTCCAAGGCCATTCTCCTGCACTCCCTACTGATCATGTAAATGACAATGGTGTAGGAGTTAGAATAGATGGTAATGGATATGACTCTTCTACGAACTCTTCAAATGATGACAAGGATACCAAATTGTTTGATGATGGCCATGATTATCTATCAACTCTGAGGTTTGAGCCGTATGAGTATGGGATTAGTGATGAATTCATGAAAGCAACATTTGGTCTTACGGAGTATTCATCAATCATGTATCCTTCCGGACTTTCTGATTTTGGTCTAAAGAAGGAAGATACTTCCGGTTCCATTTGTATGTTGTAAAACCATTCATTAACGGATATTACATTTTCACCAGAATAGTACATGATTTTTCCTGAAATTAAAAAATTTTGTATTTATTGACGGTTGTAACCTAAGTTTACTTGTTGGTTTCTTCTATTATTTTATACATGTTGATCAAATATTGACATTTGATGAATTCTCTGCCATGCCTTTATTTATTTTACACGTTTACTTGTAGTCTTTTTTTTTTTTCTTTTTGTCATTATTTGAAGACCTTATGTTTCTTTTGTAATCTTTGAGAATTGAGAGGTTTATTTTTGCCCCTGTATGGGCTTATGTTGAATCTGTTTGCTAATATCACCTAGTTATCGTCTTTTATCAACATATTTGGTAGAACAAGCTGGGTCGCCTTTCCTTTTTTAGTTGCATTTGGATTTCATGGATTTTGGCATAGGCTTAGGCTTCGTTTGGGATGATTTTTTAAAAAACAATAAAAAAGCTGTCCCAAACGAAGTCTTAATCATTGCATGCAAGCTTAATATGAATCATCAATGTTTCTCATTTGGATTTGGAAATGGCAATGATGATTTTTTAAAGTGGAAAGTACAATATGATAACACAATCATTATTGCATGGAATCGTGAAATGATTATATTGGAGAGATAGTGCAAGCATCATATGTTGAAGATGAGATGTTGAGAACTTTGACATAAGGTGTATTTGGTTGATTGTAGATGGAAAACATGTTTTAGAAAGTGATAATTTTATCGTCACTCAATTTAAGTATGCAAATACAATCATCATTTTTTAGGGATTTTGAAGATGTTTGTAGAGTTGAAAATTCATATTAATTTCTAACTCTGTCAAACCAAATAAGTTAATAAAATAAATTCATTATTTTTTCAAAACACATTTTCTAATGCAAGCAATCAAATGAGTTCTTCTCAAGTGTTTTGGGCATGTACATTTCAGGGTAAAAAATTCCACAATAATGTGTAATATTACAAGAATGACCAAACAATATATTAGGATTAGAAGTTGTGAAAAAAAAAAAGGATATGTGCAAGTAAGATTAACACTTCATTTGCACTCAATAGAATGAATAGAAAATGAGGACTCATTGGGAAATACCAAAGTACTTGGGATAGGGCTATTGCTTATGATGATGATGATGATGATGATGATGATGATGATGAGGATGAGGATGAGGATGAGGATGAGGAGGATAGGGCTATTTCGTATGATGATGATGATGATGATGATGATGAGGAGGATGAGGATGAGGATGAGTATGATGTTATTTCTTGTATGCATGTTTGTAGCATCATTAACCATAAGAAACAAAAATAATCCTCTTATGAATGAAAAACATATTCCAAAATCATGACGGTTGATGTCGTTTGTTACTGTTGTTACCAACATGATAGCTATTAGAGTTTTTTTAGTTCATGCATTCTGAGGTCTTTACCATGTACTTTATTTTTTAGTGGCAACTTCATGGCGAAGAATTTATTTATGGAGTGGACTTTTATGTGTCGTGTCATGCATTTATCTACGTTGTGTTCATCTTCTTTTCTCTTTCTGAACTTCTTATTGTTGTTTCTTAGCAGATCCCAATAAATCATTAAACTTCCATTGGCCAAGTAAACTAGTATGAAGGCTCTCCTTAGATTTCCTATTTTCTTATGCGAATCATCAGAATAGCTGTGGGACTTTCTAAGCTGTCGCTTTTTCATCCTACTCTCCACCATTCTCAGAGACAGAAATAGTGAGCGATTCTTTCTAAAGGATTTTTTTGTAGGTTCTTTGTTGTATTTTTCATTTTTTTTTTTGGCTTCATTTTTAATTGAAACATGTTGAAGCATTTGATCGCATACAGCTTTTCTATAAAAAAGAACTTGCAGTCATTAATTAACCACAGAAATAGATAGAGGAATAAAAAAGGAGAAGTCTACCTGCAAATTTACTTTTTTTTTTTTTTTTTTTTTTTTTTTTTTTTTTTTTTTTCGTGCATTATGGATTTTGGGCCCTTGATTTGGTGAATTATTCCCTGCGGATACAGATGCCGTTGTCCGGAGGCGAATCAAAATGCTCAATGCCACCCTTATGCTGTATATCGCAGCTGTGTACCGGGTGGCGTGACCTATTCTGATTCGCCTCCAAACGATTCGATGTCCGCAAAGAATAATTTCTCATTGATTTGATGTAGAGTTGTACGCGTATGACTTTATGAGCAAAAAATTCATATATCTAATATGAACAAAAAGAAGGAACCGAGCAAAGCTTCGGAAAGAGGAAAAAACGGAGTCTTTGTCTAAAAAAATGCGTTGAGAAAGGGCAGATGTATAGAACCTTTCAACGAGATAGTGCTTTTTTAAATCTCTCAAAATGGAATCTGTTCCAAACATAATTAAGATCAAAAATCTTCTTATGAGGTTCCTGCTTGAATTACTCAACACTGCCATAAAAAACAGAAAGGAGACTTGAAAATTTTCTGTGCAGAATTTCACCTCACCTGATTCTCAGGTTGTGTGATTTCTGTGAATTCTCTGTCGTCAGTCAGAAGGGAAATTTAATTGATTTTATTTATTTATTTTAATTTTTAAGTGTATATTTGAGCCCCGCAAATAACTTAATTAGTATTTAGTTGAATGTATAATATATTTTACTTTTAAAATCGACTGCAAACCGAAAAATTTATTTTCCACTCCAAAATCTAATAAGGGGTATATGAAATAGTAATTATTAGTTTTTAACTAAATTTTATTTCTAATATCAAAAAAGAATATTCTGTGTACATTCTTTCTTTTTCTTTTTTTTTTTCAAATAGTGCGATTCAAAACTTGAAATTGCCTTCAAGAACTCCTCGATTGGACGCTCGGGCAAACTGCGATGTTCGAATAGTGTTCGATTGGAGATGCCCTGAATGAACAAGCCATATAGGAAAGTTTAAAAATAAATCTATTGGGCCCATTACGGCTCAGACTGTTTTCTAAAATAGCTTTCTTGTATAATTTTTTTTAAAAGCAATAAAAAATAGTGGTAAAAAATTGTCTCAAATGAAGCCTAAGTAAGATTAAGTAACATCAGTTAAGGTTTCTTTTGGGATAGTTTTCTTACTGTTTTTTGTTTTATTTAAACGTTGAAAAATAAATAATCAAAAGTTGTTCCAAACGAAGCCTAAACTCTGAATAATGATAAGACTCATTAAATGATGCAATATAAGAATGAAATTTTCATAAAATTAGGCAACTTGTTCATTTATGAGGAGTTTTGTATTCTAAAAACTTTATGTATGCCTTTTCAAAACTCATACGCATTAGTGTAAAAATAGAAAAATAAAATCATAATTCATTAATAAAAAAAGAATATAATAATCATCTATTTGAAATTTTTTTAATTTAAAAATTCTTATATCATCATCATCATCATCACACACAAAAAATATACATACATATCATTATCACCATCAAAATTAAAAAAAGAAGTAAAATAATAATAATAATAATAATTTGTTTACTTAACAATGCATATGATACCCCATAAATGCTAGCAAGTCTCCAGTTTTTATTAATTTTCTTTTATCAATATGCATGGAATATACCATCTAAACCATTTATTAATAAGTTTACTTTTCTATTCGTACGTTTTTTTGGGATAGTTTTTTTATAGCTTTCTAACGTAGCTTTTTAATATAAAATTTTTTTAAATTATAACTTTTATTCTAAAAATTTATTTTAAAAAATAGTAAAAGAGTTATCCCAAACTTTTTTTACTGCTTCTTAAAATTACTTTCTAGTAAAAAATTTTTAATTCTTATACTAAAAAATTGCATTAAGAAGCAGTAAGAAAGCCGTCCCAAACAAAGCCTTTGTTTGGGATGGCTTTATTCCAGCTTCTTAAAGCTGCTTTTTAGTATAAAAAATTTAATTTTTGTACTTAAAAGCAGCTTTATAAAGCAAGAAGAAAAACTTCTCAAACAAAGCCTTAGACTTCGTTTGGGATGACTTTCTTTCTGTTTCTTAAAACAGTTTTCTAGTATAAAAATTTTAATTTTTATACTAAAAAGCTGCTTTATGAAGCAGTAATAAAGTCGTCACAAACGAAACCTTAATCTCTTAGCTTCTTTATCATCCTCTATTATATTCCTGTTCTTGTGTTGGGCTGTTAAAGTCATGCAGATGAAAACAAAACTTCTTTTTCATATAAAACTATATGAAAATACATGGAGCTCTGTCAGGCATCTTGCCTAAAAAATGTTCATTTTTTTAATACATGGAGCATATTTTAGCCTGTTATTTTTTGGCAGGTCTTGCATAAATTATGCGTGCGTGATCTTATGATCAAATTAGTTCAAATCTTAAAAAAATCTCTAATTTTTAGACTTTAGGGCTCATTTGATTCGATGGCAATTAGTATGGTTGGAAATAGCTGGAAAAAAATTTTATGAGCATGACATTTGTAATTGTTTGGTTGCATTTTTGATTAAGGCTTCGTTTGGAATATATTTTTTACTATATTGTAAAGTTGTTGTATAAAAAAATAAATATTTAAAGTTAGTTATTATTAAAAACAGCTTCGTAAATCGTAATACATATTTTTTTAAAAATAGTAAATAAGAAGTAATCAAATAGAAATTGTGATTATGGTCTGAAAAAGCAAAACACTAAAAAAGATGTACCAAAACAAGCCTAAGACTGTAAATGAGTCAAATTGCAGCAAGTGTTGCGTATTGGGGAAGATAAGGAGTAAACACCACAATGATGAAATAAACATGAAAGTAAAAACAACGGAAAAGTAAAGGATACTAGAATTTAAAGTTAAAAAACTCAAAATAGGGAAAAAAAAAAAACCACGGAGTCATACAACACCAAGAAATCCACGATGAAAATTGGGAGAAATAAGTATAGATCTCTCTTATCTCCCACTTTGTCGTTGCTTCTTTTCTCACATGCACCGTTCTCACTCTTGCCCCAACAGAAAAAACAAGAGAAAGCCAAGTAAAATAACTCTAAGGGATGCAACCCTTCAGAAAATGAGAAAGAAAACCATCAAATCCGTCTCGTAGTGTTGCGACGCAAGTTTTGGCACTGTGGTGATCAAGCCTCTTTCTTCAACCGCTACAGCGCCGTATCTAGGCCGTTGTGGCGCTCTGCTCTTTGTTGTTCAATGTTGGGGTGCTTGAGAACAAAGCATTGGGGCACTCAGGTACTTAGCACCGAGCATTGTACGAGAAAAAAAAAAATTTTTTTTTTTGCACCCGAACCCAAGCAAAGGGTAAACCCCCGCACCTCCCAACATACACAACAAACTTTGAGGTCTTAGACAATATAATACAAAAGAATCATTTTACTCTTCTATTAACTAATTCGTCCCCACATAGTGGGATAAAGACTTGATCTTATTATTGTAGTACTAACCAATTAGTGGACATACATATACATTCAGGCCAATAAAACGTCAAATATGGCCAAACAAAGCTCTGTTTTTGAATCAACTAGCGAATTTAATACACTTTTCTTAGCTAGTCGAATAAAGCTATTTGAAAATGACGAGCTTTTGTTTAATAGCTTTGCTTATGGTGCATATGACTAATGAAATATAAATGATTTATTTTATATTTAATAAAAATCACTATGGAGCCATTGCATCATTCTAAGAAGTTTACCTGCTTTTGAGAAGTAGCTTTTCATATAAAAATTTAGAGAAAAATTCAACCGAATAGGGCCTTAAAGTTTTGTTTGGGACAACTTTTGATTATTTTTTTACTGTTTTTAAAAAATTTTGCACTAAAAATTTACTGTAAAAAGCAATAAGAAAACGGCCTCAAACGAAATATAAATGTATATCAAACAGTTCGAGAGAGAGAGAGAGAGAGAGAGAGAGAGAGAGAGAGAGAGAGAGAAAGAGAAAGATTTTGTTTAGAACAACTTTCTTACTGCTTCGTAAAGCAGACTGTTTCGTAAAGCAGTTTTTTTATACAAAAATTTCTATTTCAAAAAAATTTTACACTAAAAAATAATAAAAAATTTGTCATAAACAAAACCTAAAGGCTTATAGCTTCTTTTGTCGATGGTGTGCATTTTGCTCTAAGCATCTCTATATATAATTATAAAGTAAATGGAGAGGATAGTCATATAGTATGACATATTTTATGAAATATTTGCTATAAAACTAAACTTGTAAAAAATAAAACAGCAGAGAAGCATCTAGTTTTTTCCATATTTTTCTTCAATGGTTATATAGCTTGATAATCCACCAAAAATTACTTTGACGTATCAAAACTCTGCTTTAGAAAGCTTATAGTCAAACTAAACGTCTCAATGAGATAAATCAAACTATACAAAAAATGATCCAATCCGAGCCTGAATGAGCTAAATCAAGGGTCTGAAGTGCAATTTGAATCTTTAAGAAATTGATTTGATGCTGAAACCATCTCCAAATTTGGCGCGTTTATAATCGAATTGAACAACTTATTAAGATGGATCTAATGAGCAAAAGATCGCTTAATTTTGACATTATTAAGACACTTAAATATTGAACGAGCACTTTATGAACAAGATAATCAATATGGGCCATCTGACGAAGTATTATGAATTTTCTCCATGTTTATGGACATACCACTCTCAAAAATTATAAATAAGCCCATATTATACATGAAGAGGGAAGAGTGAGAAGCTGGAGCCAAAACTCTCTTTTGAGATTAAAGAGAGTTTCAAGGTTCTAAGGATCTTAGAGCACCACCATGGGGCCACTACCAGATCGTCGCCACCAAGCCTTCGCAGGCTAATCACTACAATGCTCTAACCAACCTTTCTTGATTACGATCTTCTAGCCCCTATCACTCGACTATGGTCATTCTGACCATTATTTTCTAATCATAGTCCTTAGACCATCGTCGCTTGACTGCAATCCTCTGTATGATCCCCAAACCACCAATGCTCAACGTTGACCCTCAAACCACCATCATCCTACCATGATCCTTCTTACCATCATCAACTTCAGTCTCTGCATCCTCCATAACTCACTAACTATAATCCCTCCAACCTTAATCACTTGTTAACTATGGTCCTTCGACCACCGTCATTAGACTATGATCCTCAGACCTTTTTCGCCGAACTACAATCCCCCGACATCCATCACCCAATGACAATGGTCACCCAAACTTCATTGCACATCAATTGTGTTCTTTCCAACCTCCTTGCTCACCAACTAGGAAATTATATTCCTCTAACATTCTTCACACACTGCTTATAGCCCCAAACTTCTATCATTACTCAATCACTATAGTCATTTTGAGCACTGTCGCTTGATTAAGGTCCTTCGACCTCCATTGTTCACTTACTTTTGTTTATTGACTACCGTCACTCAACTACTATCCTTCAACCTTCGTTGCATGCAGACTATGTTTTCCTTTGACCTTCACCAATTGTCGACTACCATCCTCTGACTACTGTCACTCAACTCTAGTCCTTGGACCACCATACAACCAATTACAATCCTTCTACCTCCATTACCAAACTATAATATTTTAACCTCTATTAACAACCAACTACAGTCCTCCAAGCACCATCATCCAATTCCATTTCTCAAACCACCATCATCCAACTAAGGTCCTTCTGACCTCCATCACCCGCCAACTACATTCTTCCTACCCCTATCATTCAATTATATTCCTCAACCTTTAGTGCATGACTACGATCTTCTAACCTCTAACAAAGTTCTTTCCGACATGTCGACTACAATCCATCGATCATTGTCACCTGTCAACATGATCCTTGGATCTCCATTGCCCGACTATGATCCTTGAACTACTATCACCTAACTACAATCCTCCAATCACTGTCACCCGACTAGGGTCCAACAACCTACAAAGTTTTGATCATCACCGCATGCCTTGCTTGTTGGCTTTATCAGCTACCATAGTTAATAATGCCAACATATTCCATCACTTTTAAGATTGATGCACGTTGTCGACATCAACTACAACTTCCAACTTCAGCACTTAGATTTATGTTGGATTCCTATCAAATGGTTCTTCGAACTTTAATCAATTGTGTTCTTTATAATGTATCTATACTTCCCCCCAATGAAGAACTTCACTTATAATCAAATCTAAATACTAGTTAAAACAATTTAGCTAGGTCATACCTCATGATTTTTCACTTTCATGAGTTTTTCATGTAAAAAAATGTTCTCTTAAGATTCTTACACTCCTCTTCTATATGTGCATACTGAATCTTCATGTAAAATTATGACGTCAATCTCTCCATTTCTCTACCGACAAATATGTTCCAACACACAACAAAGCTAAATAGATTTTTTTTTTTAATTCTTGTTTTATACCGTTGCATAGAGTGATTATTTATAGAACAAGAAGAATCCAAAAATAATAAATTAAGACTTATTTTTGGTAATATTTGTTATATTTTATTACATCATGGATCTAATTTATGCAAAAGTATGTAATTGAAAATTAACTATCACAATGCATATCTGCACTTCTTCTTCTTTTATCCAATTAGAATTTGGAATGCTATAATTAGGAGCCATGATCAGCTCCCTATCACTTCCTATTAAAAAAAAAATTCATCCCGAAGAATTGGGCCTTATTAGTAACCAAATGGGCCTTAGAAAATAAAAGTAACTTAGGCCACACCCAATGCATCTAGCCTTTGTTTGGCCCAAACAATTTCATGGAACCAAAATTTTCGTTTATGGGATAAAAATTGATTATTTCAACATTATTATTTTTTAAAATTGATGTTTATAATATTCAATAAAGTAAATATTTTTAAAAATTTATATTAACACAAGTAAAAGTTATAAAACATATAAATGTAAATCCTTAAAACCAAATTTAATAAATAAGGATGTCCTTAGCTGAATAAACATTTGAAAAAAGATTGTATAGCCTTTTAAAATTACTATATGATAGATATATATCACAAAAAATAAAAAATTTAAAAATCATAGATTTATGTGCATTTTTTTCATAATCTTATGATGATATAATGTACATTTGAGTCATTTTATATTGGATCTTTTCTTGCGTCATGATCTATTAAAGACTTTATGTTATTAAGATAATGACAGATATGATAATGACGGTAGGTATAATAATAATAGTGATATGTATGATAATGATGATAAACATAATAATGGTTATAACTATTATATTTAGAGATTGGTTTGCATATTTTAGTGCCTCCATCTCCTCTTGTAATGCTAAGAACTTAATTTTTGGATTAAAATTTCTTTCTTGAGTTTTTTTCAAAAGAAGTAATAGTAAGTGTGTAAATGATAACTTGAGTGTGTGAGTTCACAATTCTTATATAATGACTTGTAAGGAATGGGATCTTCGTAATGATGGAGTTCGTAGAAGGCGATCTCAACCTATCACTGCTTTACTATCGGTTATCTTATATTCATCATATGTCAGAATATTCATAGCTTTCCATTTCTTCTTTATTTTTATAAGGATCGAACATAATGAAAGTTTAAGGTTTCGTTTGGGACAGCTTTCTTACTGCTTCTTACATCAGCTTTTTAATATAAATATTTTAATTTTTGTACTATAAAGCTGCTTAAAAAAATTGCCCCAAACGAAACTTAAATCACTTCTCCCTTCTCAAATTCATGTTTTGTGTTTTGTGCCTAATATTGATTGCATTTTTATCATTATTGACTTAAAAGTATTTTAAGAATTATTAATGTAATCAACTAATTATAATCATCTGATATTAGGTTGTATTTATCTTGAGTCATATTTTTTATCTGAGTATGTAAGTTTTATTGGGAATATCTTATTTTGTGCTAAATTGAATTTATTGTAAAAAATTGCATTAATATATTCATTAAAATTAGCTTATCATTCTATTTTATAGATAGTTTTTAGTATGTTGGTCATATGTTTTTCATTTATGATCCAAATTTTATGAACGAGTAAACGGTGAGCTCTGCAATTTTATATAACTGATATTAAACTCCTTAATCAAATGTTTAACAAGATTTTATGACTAATTACGATTATGAAACTTGATATTTAACTAAAGATATCCTAATCAATTACGACCCGAAAATCCGACTCAAAACCAATCCGAAAATTATGGGTTAGGGTCAACCCGTTTTGCCAACGGGTCGGGTTCGAGTTTCAGGAGTTGACCTGTTTGAAAAAAAATGAGGCAGGTTCGAGTCAACCCTGTTAGCCTTAAATTGACCCGTTTTGACCCCGAAACCCGTTAGCTCGTCTGCGTCAAGTCTCGCATCAGCTCAATCCATCCACGTTTTTCTCGCCTCTTCGCATCAACTCATTTTTTTTAGCCAGTCAAATCTCGCGTCAACCCATCGCTCCAGCTGTGTCAAGTCTCGCTCCAACCCGTCGCTCCAGCTCATCTGCTCAAGCCGTGTCAAGTATCGTGTCAGCCCATCCGCGTCCCTCTGTCACCGCCTCTGCCATCCGCTCCAGCCCACCGTCGATAGAGGTTGAAGACAAGCTCGTGACCCAGGTTAGCGAGTCATGCGGGGTTGACCCGCGTCCGAAACGTGTCGGGTTCAGGTCCAAAAAAAAGTGATCCGTTTGTAAGAAAATGGGTTTGTTCAGGTCGGATCAACTTGTGTCGGATCAATTCTGTGTTGGACCCGAACCTGACTCGTGATCCGATTTTGACATCCCTACTCTAAAAATATAAAAAATTTCCTTATTTTTAATGAGAATAAATTACCCTTGGCTTACTCATTAAACAGGTAAACTAATACAATTAGTGACTTGATCTATTCCTCTTTTTTTCCCTCAACCCCGTCAAAATTATTACTTATTGACCTAATATTGCTTAAATTATAAAAAAAAAAGTAATATTTTCACTTAATTTTCCCGGTCAAAAAGACAAATTGCAGCAAAATATCCACCAGACAAATCTTTTTTACAGATTACAGTTTTCTTGTTCTGAATGTTGTCATATAATTTGTCTGTGGCATTCTCTGCGAACATTTTTTTTTTTATTTTGGAAGGTTGTTGCTGACTTTTTAAATATCCAATGTGAAACTTCGCAGGATATTTATGTAAATATGCCTATTCAATATAATAAATTAATTTAAGAAATATTGTCAACTCGCCTTTTGTCATTTGTTCTTAAATGTTCATTGAAAGTTCTTCGCATGGTTAGAAATCTCATTCATTATCTTAAATATTAATAAAATCAAAATTTGGTTAGCTTGCAACGATATTTTTATAATAAAAATTTTATATTAGAATATTTTGATATAGTCGAATATATTTAATGAATATAAGTTTTTTTTAGTATAAAAAATATTAATAATTTTTAAATATCCTGATATAATTTATATCAAGACATTCGATATAAATTATTATTATTTTTGTAATTTGCAGGCCTAGAATACTAATTTTAGGCTTTTTAGCTCCTTGAATGTATGCCATGAGGCTTTCTCATAAGAAAACATTTTAATGGGCAAGTAATTTTTGCATAAATTAGGTATTTTATATTTGAATGCACTTTTTGCTTAACTTCCTAACTGATACATCATCAAAATTTATTTTGATCGGGCATGAATCTTAAGACAAATTTGAGTGGGAAATTTCCAAAATCAAATACGGACTATCTGAACTCTGATTTCAACAAACTTATAGTTGAACTAAACATCTCGAAAAGATGAACCCAACAACACCAATATCGACCCAATTTGAGCCCAAATGGATCTGAATTGAAGACCCGAAGCTTATTTGAATGTTTCAAATAATAAATTGGACGACCAAATGATTTTCAAACACAACATACTTAAAGTTGAATCGAGCGGCTCGACGAAATGAATCCAATGAGCCCAAGATTGTCAATTTATGATGCCATTAAGACACTTAAATACTAGATAAATGACCCACAATCAAGAGAGTCAATATCGGCCGTGCATTCAGAACACTCCCAATATATCTTTGATCTTCTCTCTATTTACTAGCCATGAAACTCCTCAAAAATTATTAATAGACCATCATTCTTTATTGAGGGGGCCAGAAGCAAGGAAGAGAGAGATATCTGAATTCTCTCACCACCATATTCCTCCTTCTCGACCATTACCCAACCATCGGCCATTGTCGGACTTATGTCCGACCATCAGCTGTCGTCAGATTTTCGCTCAATCACTAACTGTCGCCTGACATCCATCCAACCTCTGTTCGTTACTAGATTTCGACCGAGTAGCGGACTATTGTAATTTGGATCGTCTTTAAGCTCGAGGGAAAATCTATTCTTTATAATCTACTTAAACATTAGTGACCCCGTCGAGGTGTGGTTTTTACTTCTGTGTTCTCCACGTAAAAAGGTTCTTGTGTTTCTGTTCTTTCTCTGTTTATGAGCTGGATACTCGTGCAATGCTAAGACTTGAAATTTGATAGTTTACTGTTGTGAATATCCTAGCTCGTAACACTTGTAAGATGTTAAACGAGAGGGAGAGAAAGAGGAATACCGAGTGGAAACAAAGAAAGATTAAAATTTCATTCACACTTGTACAGAAGACAGAGGAGCTATTTATAACAAATAAAATACAAGAATGATCGTAACGTCAGGATGACGTGGAGCCCGCGTATGCAAGAAGGTACATATCTTGTAAATCTTACAGGCCCCTGCAAACTGATGATTGTAGAGTGGTGATTAGTTTGTTGCATAAAAATTTGAACCAAAATATTGGTAGTGGCTTGGTGAAGAAATCGGCTATTTGGTCGTTGGTACATATATGATGGATGGTCAGTTGTTTTGATCGAATGCAGGTTCTAGCATGATAAACCGGATTATTGGCAAGGGCGATGGCAAATGTATTATCGCAGTAAATAATTGTATGAGTTAGTTGAGGAATGTGAAAGTCCTCGAGAAGACGGCAGAGCCAAAAGACCTCAGAGGCTTCTGTTGCCAGAGCTCTGTATTCGGATTTTGTGGATGATCGGGCCACAGTGGACTGCTTTTTGACTTGCCGGAAAATTAATGATTTACCTAAAAAGTTGTAGTATCTAGAAATGGATTTTTGGTCTTGGGCATTGTTGGCCCAATTGGCGTCGACAAAGCCTTGCAGGTTTAAATGATCTCGGTGCAAAGGAATACCATTATTAGTTGTACCTTGAATGTAGCGAAGAAGTCTTTTGAGTGCGTCGAAGTTGCTATTGAGTGGAGCGTGCATGTCTTGGCTTAGTTGATGCACCATGAATTGAATGACATGGTATGTTAAAGTAAGGTATTGAAGTGATCCGATCAGGTGACGATATAGTTGAGGGTTGGAGAAATCTGTGCTGCACCTGGTTGAATTATCAGTTTTGCAGGAGATGGGGGTAAAGACGAATTTTGAATTTTGCATGCCAGCGCATTCCAGAATTCGTTTGGCATATTGTTTTTGATGAAGGACTCCGTAAGTTGTTTGAATGGTTTGAATGCCAAGAAAGGGAGCTAGAGAGTCGACGTTGCGCATTTGAAAGCATTCTTGGAGGCTGGATAGCAGCCATTTGATCTCCGTGGGGGAGTTGCCAGTGCGTAGGATGTCGTCGACGTAGATTAGAATATAGAGTCGGTTTGGACCCGATTTATATATGAGAAGAGATGGATCAGCATTATTAATAATAAAATCGAAAGTTTGAAGGTGATTTGATAGAGTTGCGTACCATTCGTGTGGAGACTATTTGAGGCTGTATAGAGCTTTCTTCAATTTGCAAACGTGGGTCGGATGCATGGAGTCTTGAAGGCCTGGTGGTTGTTGCATATATACAGTGTTGGATAGTTTGTCGTGTAAGAAGGCGTTGGAGACGTCTAGTTGATGAATATCCCTGTTAGAATGCAAAGAAATGAGAATGAGAACGCAGACGGTGGGAATCTTTGCGACGGGACAGAAGGTTTCCGTGTAATCAAGTCTGTGTTCTTGATTGAAGCCCTTTGCGACTAGCCGAGCATTTTTAATTGGGATGGGGTGGAACAAGATCTCATGTTCCCTGTATTTGTAATGCTTGGAATTCTTGAGACATGGCAGATCGCCAGTGTTCACTTTTGACAGCTTGATTGTAAGTAGCAGGTTCAGTGTGGTGAATGATATGAGAAAGATTGAAGACTTGCTTTGGTTTGGAGTGGCCGGTCTTGGATCGAGTGAGCATGTGGAGTGTACTAGGTTGTGAGTTGTGAGTGTTGGTGGAATAAGTTGAGTTGGAAGGAGACAGAATGGGTTGTTAAATGGGAGATGTGTCTGGATGATTGAGGTAGTTGGAGACCAGTATGGATGAATAGGAAGCGGCAGGTTTAGTTGAGGTGGAGGATTGAGATGAGTGCTAATGTGATTGCTGATGGAAGCGGGTAACCTGTTTATTGGAACAAGAAGTAGAGGAGGAATTATAGGGGACGGGCTGGTGTTTGAGTTGTGATGGTTTGATAGTTGAGTGAAGGGGAATATTTCTTCGTTGAAGATGACGTGACAAGATGTGTAAATCTTGTTGGTTGTAGGATCGAAGCACCGGTATCCTTTTTGGACTGGTGCGTAGCCTATAAAAACATACGGGTGACATAATGGAGAGAGTTTGTGAGTGGAGTAGGGTTTGAGCCACGAATATCAAAGACAACCAGAGACTTTTAGATTGCTATACATGGGTGGTTTTCTGTATAGAATTTTGTATGGTGATTTGTTGGAGGTATTTGGAGAGGGTAGGCGATTGATTAAATGGACGGCGGTCAGTAGAGTGTCAACCCAAAGATATGTCAGAAGGGATGCTTCAATTAGGGGTGTAAGTGAGCCGAGTCGGCTCGTGAGCCGGCTCGAACTCGACTCGTTAATGAGCTCGCGAGCCAAGCTTATCGAGCTTCGAGCTCGAGCTCGAGCCTACAATCGCTTTCTATCTAACGAGCCGAGCTCGATAAGGGCTAAAACTCGACTTGACTCGACTCGTTTACACCCCTAGCTTCAATGAGTAAACTGCGGGTGGTTTCAGTTATATGACGATGTTTGCGTTCGGCCACACCATTTTGAGATGGTGAGTAGAGACAAGTAAATTGATGAAGAATGTCGTGAGCAATTAGATGAGTTTTGAATTTATTGTTGATGAGTTCGCCGCCGCCGTTTGTACAAACCGTGCGAATATGACTCTGAAATTGTTGTTCGATCATTTTCTGAAATTCGAGAAATTTGTAAAAACATTGGATTTTTGGACAAGATGAAACACCCACGTATATTTTGAAAAGTCGTCTATGAAGCTAACATAGTAACTATATCCGTAGTTTGAGACAGATTGAGAGGGGCCTCAGATGTCGGACTGAATTAATTCGAAAGTAAAAGTACTATTACTTTGTGACTTTTTAAATGGTAGTTGGTGGCTTTTAGCCATCCTACATGAATTACATGTTGAAGTAATATAAGAGGTACAAATGTTTGAAAGATGATTTGCTAGGTAAGAAAGTGTGGCCGATGAGGGGTGCTCATGACGTCGATGCCAGAGATCGGGAATGGGTTGAATGGAGAGAAGCGCAAACTGAGAGGTAGCAGTTATCTTGTGCAGGATCGTACATAGATGATATAGACACGAACCCGTGAGAAGAGTTCGGCTGGTCTTCGGATCCTTGATTTTGTAGCCCGAGAAGAGAATGTGATAATGCATTTGTTGTCAGCGGTGAGTTTATGAACATATAAAATATTGAAAGAAAGATTTGGTACAAGATTTAAGTGAGATAGTTTAAGACTACCTTGAGGTGTGGGTAAAAGACCTTTACAAGTGGTGTGAATGGGGAGTTGTTGGCCATTGCCGAGGATGACTTGGTTGGAGCCGATGTATGCGTATGAAGATTGGAAGTGCATCGGGTCCGATGTAAGGTGGGAGGAGGCTCCGCTGTCAAGGTACCATTCGATGGGTGGAGGAGGCGAGGGGGAGGTGACGAGAGAAGCTGGTGGTTGTTCAGTGTTGTATTGATCGTCATGACGATGCTAGCATTTGACCGCACAGTGTCTGTTCTTGCCACAAATTTAGCATGTGATGAGCGATCTTGATTGTTGTCTGCCTCTAATGTTGTTCAACGAGTTTCTGTTGTTGTAGGAATTGCACCAGTGGGAAGAGTTAGATCGACCTCGGCTATGGCCCCGTGCTGTCGTAAGAGCAGTGAATTCCCGAAAATTTGGAGGGACTGGAGCTCGCAGGTTGTTTCATGTGCGAGGTTTAGCTCTTCGCTACAAAGAAGGGTATAAAGATAGTCTAAACTTAGTGTTTGAAGGTTGGTATGAATTGAGGTTTTAAAAGATTGATAAGTGGGAGGCAGTCCGTCCAAAGTGTAGTGAATAATGTCTTCGACGGCATTGGGAGCGCCGGCGGCATCAAGAGAGTCTACTTTGGTTTTGATGTCAAGAAGGTATTGAGACATGGTTTTATCCTTCATAGTGAGGTAGCAAAGTTCGTGTTTGAGCTGAATGATTCTTGAGCGGGTGCTTGATTGAAGTCGCCGATCAAGAAATGTCCATATTTCGTTGCAGTGTTCGACGGATAAAACGTAGGGGAGGATCGTCAGTGATATGACGGAGTATAAGGCGGCTGTGAGGTTCTGATCGAGCAAGAGCCAGTTGGTGTAGTTGGGATTGGGGATGGACTGACCGGTCGTCGTCGTGGTAAATCTTGGCGTGATGGAGGAAGATCCATCCAAGAAACCTTGGTATCTGTGGGTCTCCGAAAGGATTCCGCTCGTGTGGTT